CCCCGTGGCCGGCAGAGACAGCCTGCTCTCTCTGTGTTCTCTGCTGGGTACAGATCAAGGGGTAGCCATTCCAGAGTTCTCAATGGTACCGCTGAGGGACCCTAGCAGTTTGAACAAACAGTTTGAAAATTGCATCTTAGCATTTTCCTGTATGGTTTGAATCATATTATGCCAGTGATTCTCAAACTTTGGCATGCATCAGAATCTCCTGGAGGGCTTCTTAACACTTTCAGTTCCATGAGTCTAAGGTATCCACAAACATTTGCATGTCTTACAAGTTGCTGACTGCTGCTGCTGGTCTCCTTGAGAACTGCCACATTGGACCATCAACTCTGAGAGTTTAAGTGGATCTTAGAGCTATTACAGTCTCTTAGCTTTACAGGCAAGGAAACCACGTCCAGAGAGCTTGTTCTGCCGGTGATGAACATCTGGCCGCAGGCAGGATGAGGACGGAGCCATAGCCGAGGGCCCCTCCTCTGCATGAGTCTGCCCCCCACTGTATGTCCTGCTATGTCTTATATTGTTTTTAATATAAGTAAATGGGTATATTTATGGTCCTGATCCAGACTATAAACTCCTCATTTATTTTAGTGTAGTCAAAAAGTTAACAGATCCAGCTTTGGAGACAGACTGCCCAGGGTGAGAATCCCAGCTTCTCCACTCCCCGGCTGGTTGACCCTGGGCAAGTTATTCAGCTTCTCATCTGAAACATGAGAGTAATTGTGGTAGGTAGAATAATGCCCCCCACCCCCACCCAACATGGCCACATCCTAATCCAGGAAACTATGAATATGTTATGTTACACGGCAAGGGGGATTTCAGATTCAGGTTGCTTGCTAACCAGTTGACCTTAAAATAAAGAGACTACTCTGAATTATCTGGGTAGGACACAATGTAATCACAAGGGTCCTTTAAGTGTGGAAGAAGGAGGCAGAAGAGTATATGTCAGAGTGACTCAAAACAGGAAGACGATATTGGCCATTGCTGGCTTTGAGATTGGAAGGAGATCCTGAACCAAGGAATGCAGGTGACCTCTAGAAGCTGGAGAAGACAAAGGGAAGGTTCCTCCCCTGGAGATTCCACAAAGAGTGCAACCTGAAAATACCCTGATTTCAGCCCAGTGAGACCCATTTCAGACTTCTGACCTCCATAAGTATGAGATGGTAAAATAAATTTGTGTTGTTTGAAGCCACTGAATTTGTGGCCACTTGTTACAGCAGCCAGAGGAAACTCTACTCACAGGAATACAGTAAGTGTAAAGGAGATGATGGGTGTGACACACCAGCATGGTGCCTGGCATAGACTGAGAGCCTGCAGAGGAGCGAGGACTGTGCCCTGCGCACAGCGACCGTGCTAACTTGCTGAGCATCAGCTTTTCTGAATTGACCCTGGTTTCTGTAGTGCTTGCAGATTGCCTTTTGTTCTTCGGCAGAGCTGGGCTGATTTGTGTGTCTGACATAAAGGTTCCCTTAGCTGGGCTCTTCTTCCCTGCCACTCCCACCCCGACTGGGGCCACACCCTGCTGTCTACATTGCTCACTTTTCAATTCCAAGGAGCGTGTTGGCACAGCCAGGAACAGGAACCCTGCCAAAGTGAATACATCAAGAAACCAAGTCTCCGATTGGCTTCACCGTAGGAACAGAGTTAATGGATTCTGAACATGTGTTTGCTTTACGCCATTGTCTGTTTCTGAAGTGGTGGCTGGCTGCCACATCTTACTGGGTAGATGTAAGTGGAATTATGAATGGGATCCGTGCCTCGTGCGTGACGGTAATTATTAACTTGGGGCTTCAGGTAATTTTCAGACCACATTGCAGTAACATTTTTTCTAATTGTTTTCCTCTTTATTTATTTATTTATTCTACAGCCAGAACTGTGTAGACGCATACCCGACTTTCCTTGTCGTGCTCTGGATTGCGGGGCTACTTTGCAGCCAAGGTAACTCGGGCTTCCCTTGTATGTTCTATAATGTGTAACTTGGGAGGTGCGAAGGGCAGGCTTTTTGTTGAAAAGACTTTGCCTGACCTCTAGCTCCGATCTGTGAAGCCCCGGAGATGGGGGAGCCCACAGGAGGCTGTGTTTCAGGCGTGCTCTGTGCCTGTGCTGAGCAGATGCGATAATGCATTGCTAATGCTTGCTCCCTGGTGGCTGCTTGAGAGCTGCTGCTCTGACAGGGGTGGTTTAAGGCTATGTGTGACTCAGAATCCTTAAGCAGTGTTAGCTCAGATACAAGGGCATTATCAATGAGAGCGCCTGAGGGATCTATTCTGGGACTGCTGTCGCTTGGCTCTTCTGCTAATCAGCTTCCAGTGTGGTGGCCTCCTTCGAGCATGTGTCCGCAGAGCCACGGGTGGGATTCCAGGTCCCCACCTTTCCCTGGGTTATCAGCAGTCCACAGTCTTGACTTCAGCAAGTTGGAAGACCGGATCAACTCCCAGAGTTGACTTAAAATTAGATGGAAACCACAGTCATATTTTTTTAGAGACTTCTTTTGAGATTTAGCACTCGACAGGCTTGGCCAGGACAGGCACTGTGTCTGGTGTGCTCGGTCTGAACTCGCCAGCTTCTACAGCCCAGCAGTGCACACGCGAAAGGGCCACAGCAATCCTATGATGAACCGTTTAGTCCTTGTTGTCTTCTTTCCACTCTGTAAAGTACTTAGAATGGATATTACGTCCCCCTGTTACCTTTGAGGACACTTTGGTTCAGGGAGATAAAGCAACTTGTTCAAGGTTACTCAGCTAGTGAGCAGCAGAGGCAGGAGCAAAGCCCAGGTCTCTACACTCTAAATGCTGATTTTTCACAAGTTTC